GGCAGGGGAAAGGAAAGAAGGGAAAGGAAAAATGCTGAGAAATGGAATAAATGGAAATAAAGTCTTTGTAAATAGGGAAGGGTGGAGGCGGTGAAGGGAGGGCTAGGAATGGGGAAAAAATAAGAACCAAGATGCATCATGTAAAGGTACAAATTCCCAATGAGAAATGTAAATGTGATGTATACCTAAAATGTATCAATAAAGGCTTCATAATATTCTTTAAAAAAGAAAGAAGAAAACAGTAAACAGTGCCTGTCAGACAACCCTGCAGAATTAATTAATTAATTATCCATCTGCCCAAGTCAGTGTGTCCCCTATTACTGGGAGCTGTTGGGATGCAGGCAAAGAGAAGCTGCCTCTTCCAGCTTTGCCTTTCCTCTCCTCTCTCCACAAGCTGTTCACCACTGTTTACTCTAAAGGACTGTCCCTACATCTCCTCAGACTGTGGTAGGAGATTTTAGAGTCGTAAGGCGAAGACTAGCAGTTCTCACAACTGGCCTCTAAAACAAGGGAAGTTATGACCGATAGTTTTCTTTGTTCTCACTTCAGTTTTTTGTTTCCCATTCCTTCAACTTCCCAGCCCCTTCTAATAGTCTTACCATTTTGTTTCTTTGAGTTCATATTTCGGGTGCTACATTTTTCCACATCTATCATGCTCACTAGAGAAAAAGAAATCAGTTTTTAATTTCCATATTGTACAACTCTATATCCCACACAGTGACTGGAGTTTAAATTCCAAGTTCCCAGGAAACATTTTTAATCTCCTGGGAAGTGTGGTGAATTTCTTTATTCCAGAGACACAACCCCCAAGGTTAATTAATTCAACAGTTCAGGACACAAGCTTTTGCTCTTAGATTTTCTTGAGAAATATATGCTTTCATTTTCTCATCCTTCCCTCAGAGATAGAAAGTGCCACATTCCAAGGTATTTTGTTATCAGTTGATTTTCTCCCTCTCCCTTCCCTTTGTAGTATTGGAGATTGAACCCAGAACCTCACAAATGCTAGGCAAGTGCTCTATCACTGACCTACTTTCATCAACTTTTTAAAAACTTTTGAGACAGATTCTTGCTGACCTTGAACATTCCATTAGTCTCCTAAGTCACTGGGGTTAGAGGTATGTGCTACCATGTCTAGCTATCTTTTGGCTTTCTAGCTATTCCTAGCCAACTGATCGTTTTTTTTCCTCAGGGAAATACAGTGAGAATTGGCAAACAATCATTTCCTTGTGAAATTCACTCCATCCTGGGATCTGACTGTTTTTGAAACTTGAATTTCAAATCCTGGCTATCTCAGTTCAGATAAGAAGTATTCTTTGGAAACCATTGATTCCTCACACCACTTGTTCACCCTTATAGGGGATTGTGGAGAATTCCTCAACAACTATGGGATTCCCTTTTATATTCTACCTCCTCATTTGACATCAGATATCTCTTTATAGGGACCATCATTGGATCTCTTGATGCACATCTTTCAATGCATTGGGAAAATATTTGCTCTGAATCATCTTGAAACGGGAGGAAATTATTTGAATATATTTATTTCCCTCTATTTTAATTGTTCCCCTGGGTAAGTAGAGAAATAAACACATAAATTATTTCTAAAATTGCTTAACATCCTCCTCCAGAAATTTTGCAAAATATTCTATGGTAAAAATACCACAGCTCTAGAGATGGAACTATTTTGACTAGCTAGGGTACCCAGAGACTAGCTCAATACAAAGTTATAACTAATGCAAGACTCAGATTCAATTGAAACCAGCAGTCATTATAGTGCTTTCACTTCTGTAAGTCTGTAGTTATTTGCATGGTGGAAAGAAACTTTATGACACTGATTCTTCTCCACACATACTGATTCTCCCAACCCTCACTATTGTACATCTGATCTTCACCCAGCAATCTCACTCAGCTTCGTTAGATTGCTAATGAATACTGGGGCTTCTCTGAGCCATTTGCAAAACTGAGACAGCTTCTTTGCAGTCATTATCCAACTCTCACTCCTCAAAAATTCTACTACAAGGGTAATAGACCTTCCAATGTGGGCGACACTGCAGAACAGCAAAATGAGCAGGATTAAAGGAAAAGATGGCACAGTTTCACCCAGTGGCACAGCTAAAATTCACTTTGCATAATTGAAAATGGACCCTGAAATGGAAAGCTAATGGGAAGTAGCATAAAAGCCAGTCTTTCCCTGTGATTTTGACTTGAATTTTGAGTAGGACATTTCCTGTGATATGGCACTGTCCTACATATAGCAAGATATTTAGCATTTCTGGCTTTGCATTTTCTTGTGACAACAATAACACCTTCACACTTCCCCACACTCCCAGTGAAAACCACCATAATGAAGGAAATACCATCTTTTCTCAGGCAGAATAGGAGCAGTGCTGCAACAAAGAACAACGGGATGAGTCCCACCATCATAAAGTGATTTCTCTTATTTGTGGAAAATACAGCAGGTGGTTCTGAAAAACAAGATAAAATTTTCATGGGAAGTTTCAGGAAAATAATCATCCTTGAAGTTTAGTTTAGTTTAATTGCAGGTTAATTTTCTTAAGTAGTAAAAGTTCCTGGCCAGTGAAAGGCCGAAATGATGAGATAGCTCTGATCACAAGATGAGAGCAGCATGGAATAGTGGAAGAAGCCCAGGTTTTGGATAGAGAGACCTGTGGCTGAATCCTACTGCCAATGACCAGCTTTGAGATGTCTAGCAAGTGCTTTAACCAGGTTACCAAATGGAAATTCTAAGAAGTTTATCAGGCCAATGTTTGTAAAGTGCTTAGCACAGTACTACAGAAATGTCTGCTTGATACTAAACGGTGACCTTAATTATGTCATTTCCTGTTGCTTTGTTTTGTTTTGAGACAGGGTTTTACTACGCAGTTCAGGGTGGCCTTGAGCTCACTATGTAGACCAGGCTGTCCTCTGTTTTCTTATTTCTTGCCTGTTTCCTGGAGATTGTGAGCTGTGTCCTATCTTCCTATGAATAACTAATGCTTATATACTGCCTGGCATATAGGGAATATTCAGTAAATATCTGCTGAATGTTTATTAAGTAGCGACATGACCTAGATGAATGGAGGTGAGGAAACAGCATGCATTTTTAAATACGGTGTTATCCATTTACTCTTTTATTCAACCATCACCGTGATGAGCAGGCATCAGGCTAAGTAGCAGGTGATAATGTTTAGCATATTTTAATTCACACATTGAAAATATTACCTGGGATGATCAACTCAGCTCTATTGTTTTCCTCAGAACCTAATCTCCGAAAAGTGCAGTAGAAAATCTCATTAGCTGTTGCGTTGATTCTCAGCGTGCTGGTCACATTGAACAATTTCTCCTCTGTCTGGGATTTGGTGATGACGGTGTTGCCACTTAGGATTTGGTGGTCACTGCTTGTCCAGATGACTTCAGCCTCGGGGTAACCCTCAGCCTGACACATTAGTTCATGTTCAGAGGTGACTGGGTCCGTGGAAATTCGTTGGTTAATTTTGAGATATGGGGCTAGGTGATGAGCAAAAAGAAGCCAGGGATTTCTCTTAGTATAGAACAGACTTGTGGCTTGGTGCTGTCTATATTAGAAACAATATCAATGCAGGCTGGTTCTCATAGAACAAGCTTATTATTCATTGTCCTCAGCAGTGGGGAACCCCTGCTAGTCTACCTCAACTTTCTTTATTCAAACTTGGGCCAACTTTGTGCCTAACAGAACAACTACCTTGCTATAAAAATCATGTTGGTCTAGCACTCTGGAATGTTGACAGAAAGCTCACAAATTCAAGCCTAGCCTGGGCAACATAGTAAATTAAGCAAGACCCTGCCTCAAAATGAAAGATAAAAAAGAGGTGGGGATATATATTAGTGTGAAATTCAACTCCAGTATTGAAAAACAAAACATGTTAGTATGTTTATTAGGCTCAAACTAAATGCCCAGATTAATTTAAAATAAATCTTCATCTTTAAGCCAGTATTTCTTCTATCCAAATATAAAATGTCTATTTATTCAAGTATTTGTATGTTTCCCAGTAAAGTGCTATACTTTTCACCTAGGACCCAACTTCTTCTTAAATTTATTCTTGAATATTTTCCTTTTGTTGTTGTCAAGCTACTTTTATAAACACAAACCTTTCCAGCTGGAAACCACTGTTTTCTTAGACTTTACTCAATAAACTGATTTTGATGTGTCATTTGCTTTTTCAACTTTAAGTCAATGATCAGAAATTAGTTATGGAAATATATGCTATGTCATTTGTAAAAATTAACACATGTTTCTAGTGATACTTTTAAATTTTTAAATGTACTTTTCAAATTTTAGGATAGTTTCAGATTTACAAAAATGTTCCAAAAATAGTGCCATTACTGCATATTCCTTACCCAGCTTCCCCCATTATTCACATCTTATATTACCACAGTGCAGACATCATAACAGACGCACTTAATGCAATACTATTAACTAAATTCCATAACTTATTCATTCCATCACATTTTTCCCTAATGTGCTCTTTCTAGTCTATAAAATTTGATAAAAATTTTTGATAATTGGTTTGGGACTCTTTTATGATTAACATACCCAGTTTTCTGACTATTCTAGTAGATTGTTTAATGCACATAGATAGTATAAGATCTTTGTTTATGTTTACTCATTACAAATACATTACCTGTTCTTATTCAGCTGCACAATCATTATTTTACTAATAAAACTTTAGTAAGCCACTAATGATCAGAGCCTTATTTCTCCATCCCTTTACCAGGACATAACAAAAACTTCATGACATAATATTTTCACAGAGACATAATACAAAGCAGTTAGGATAAGACAAAACTGAAAAAATAATGATATGATATTTTAGTGCTCTTAAATCAAGGAAACTACCACCAATGAAATCAATATAACTATTATTTCAAAACACACAAAAAATGATTTTTAAGTACTTGAATTCTCAGTCTTTTTTTTTTTTTTTTTGGTACTGGGGATCGAACTCGGGTCCTTCTAGCTGTGGGACAGGTGGCAGAACCACTGAGCTAAATCCCCAGCCCCTAAATTCTCAATCTTGTATCTGTCATGTTTAAGAAAGATTTAAAAATGGAAACTGATTATACTTCATGAAATAAATACTTCACGAAATAATATTACCATGATAGGGTCCAATTCACATAGCATATAACTTGATTTCTGGGCAATTAAAATTTAAGGCCTAAAAATTACTGTTAGTGGTAAAATGTTAGGGGTAAAATGTTTGTCTTTCTTACCCTTCTGTCATTATTTTCAATAACAGATTATTAAAGGAGTATATTGTTAGGAAGAGTAAGGAGGATATTGTTTCACATAAAGAAACACAAATAAATATGGTATGTCTCTAAGGCCAATTATAGAATGGATGCATTCCAGAAGAACTGATTAAATATGCACTACATTAGTTTCTGGAATGGGGCACATACGTGAGGGTACAGCAGGAAAATATCAGAATTTCCACTTCATGTATTTTTATCATATCAATTAAATAATTTAAGCCTCCTAAGTTTTTCTAGTTGGCGTTGGGTCTCACTTTGCCACAAAAGTGTCTTACAGAAAAAGGGGAATCTTATAATACCAAAGAGAGGATGTCTATTTACTTTTAACTAAAATAACTGTATAAAATGATTTATTTAAAAAGTATCCCACAAAGAAATTGAGAATTGGATATTAATAATTCAAACAGAAATTAATGGGTAATGTCAGAAGTGAATATTTATAAGCCACTTTTTGAGGTTAAAATCAATAAGTACTTAATTGGACCTGACAAAGTATTCACTAAAACCCTGTAAGATTATTAAAACCACTTATCTTTGTTAATGATGATTTTCAAGATATATTATGCCTTAACATATTAGCTAAAGATAGGGAAGCACCATAATTAGGAAGACATTAAAATATTGTTTGTTAAATTTTATTTCAGCCTTTAAAATGTCTTTTATATTTTTAGAAGGCATAATTTCAGATTGAACCATATGAAATTGGTGATAGTTATCCTCTTTTGCCCCTCAAAAATGGCAACTTGTTACGATGCAATGTGTATATTAGCACAAAGTATATTCTTTATAATTTACACAAACAAACTAGGTTTTCAGATGGGGTGGGTAATCAAAACTTTTTGCACACCACTGTTTTATTAGATCTAGAGCAATATACTGATGTTAATCAAGACCAAAAAAAGCTCATGATCATTTTTAAGCCATTATACAACCTGATACACAATCTAGAGGTACAAAGATAGGCAGCAAAATATGGTTGTGAGGGGCACAGACTTCAGAATTAGACTGCTTGTGTTTAGAATCCAGTGTCACCACTTATAAGCTAGGTGGATTTGAGCAAATTGATTAATTTCTTTGGGCTTCAGTTTCCTAATCCTTAAAATGGGAAGAATAATGCTGATAGATCACTGATGGATCAATTGAAAGATACATTCTGATTTCAGCCAGGTGTTGTGGCACAAGCCTATAATCCCAGCATCTGGGAGGATGAGGAAGGAGGATCACCATGTGTTTGAGGACAGCCTGGGCTACATAGTGAGTTCAAGACCAGCTCGAACTACACAGAAAGACCCTGGCTCAAAAAATAAAAAAATAAAAAAAATAAAAATGATACATTCTGATTTCAATAATAGTAAAATGAGAAAAATATTAATCTTAGACAGAACACAGCACCTACCCCATAGAATTATACTGAGAATTAAATGAATTCTGATTACAAAAACCTTAGCTCTGGGCTTAATACACAATAAGTGCTACCCAAATTTTAATTACTACTACTACCACCACTACCACTAATACCTGAGCTCTTCCTCTTACTGCTACTGCTGAAGTGTACCTTCATGGTATTCTCGAGAAAGTACTATAGTTCTTGATGAATGTTTTGGACATAAATTTTCACATATTAAAACCTGCTCGCCGGGGATTTAGCTCAGGGGTTTTGCTGCCTGCTGCGCAAGCGCAAGGAAACGAGTTCAATCCCCACGTAACAAGAAAAAAAACAAACCTGCTCATGTTTCAAAAATTTCAAGCTAATCCTATTGGAGGAAATCATTCCATCATTAATTCAACAATTTTTTTGTGTGTGCTCTTGTTATACTACACTTTACTATATGTCAAGTCCTAGGGATAACAACGAATAAAACAGACTATACCTCTGCCCTGATAGAGTTTATGTTTTAGAAGAAGAAGAAAAAAGAAAAAAAGGCCCAATTATGATACCCTGTATGATAGTGATAGATGCAAAAGGGAACAGTTAAACAGGGCTGGGGAATTCGGGGGCAAGAAGAAGTTGGTGGGGAATGATAGCAGTTAATCTTTGGTCCATATGATTGAGTAGCTCTATCAAGATAGCTATGCACATTTTGTCCTTTCAGCTGCCTAATCCCATTTTAAGGCCCTGAAGATATTAAATGGACATTTTACTTTCCATGATATTAACATTCAGTTTTCAATTGAACATCAGATGCCTGAGAATCTGATATTTAAACTAACAAACACGAAAAGTGTGATAACACTCAAAGTGATAAATGAGTTAACCTAAAACCAAACCCTTTCAAATTTCAGTTTTGAAATGCTTCACCTTTAAAATCCCACTGAGTAAACTCCCTGTGAGGAAGCTGTGTTACCACACATTTGCAGTGATGGGAAGAAAAGCCCAGAAGGATTACTGTGAAATAATTTGCATATGGGGGTGACTCAGGACTTCTACTTTCTTGGGGTGCAGAGCTTCTCACACAAGCCACCAAGTTTCCATGGGGAGGTGGGGACATTGCTTCTGTGCAAGTGAAGCCTGGATGCTGCTGTGTTTTCAGTGCAGAAGTTGCAGACTCTTGGTTTAGCTCAACTCAACCTCCAAAACCACTGAATGCAAATGACAAGATGGACTGGAACAAGGGTGCATCTTTAGTACAGTACTGTGTTTTATAAGACAAGAGGGAATGGTCAAACAAATGAGATCTTCAAGTCTGCTTGGTCATCTTCTTTACATCAAGGACTGTTCCCTGAAAAACCCATCAGTGCTAGATTTACTATTATCTTGAGGCGATATTACGGAGCCAAGATAACCTGGAATAATCTCTTTATCACTACAAAGGACCAGCCAAAGTAGTCTCCTGAATAATCCCAACAGGCTGATGGGAGGCCTCTGAGAACAGAAACTTAAATTCTGTGCTTTCTTCTTTACTTCCAGGATTGTGCTCTTATTTTTTACACCCTAGATCTAGCAGTGCTGGCTGTTCATGGGCTTAAGGGTTGAAAATTTCTTCAAGTGCCTTAAAACAAAATAAATACCTGATATTTGCTGATGAACTAAAGAAAAATTGCAAATATAAACAACCACATCCTAAGCATGCTTTCATAAAATTCATGAAGAAATGTATGATAAAATTAAGAAAATTAAGTCTACTTTACAAGTGACATTTTCTTAACAATGGTAGCATTAACTGAGTAAGCATCAGAGTCCAGTAACATACCATAAAAGGGATGCATTTCTCCTAATCTCTATATAATTTTATTTTTCTGCTTATAATTATCAGCAGTCCTTCATAATAAATACAAACTTTTCTTACTTATATTACTGACCCTAAGGCTGATGGTAGTAGTTAGCTCAGGAATGAAAAGATCAAGGGGAGATAATTTAATTTTAGTTAATATTAAAAGGTTATCCTAAAAATAAAAGAAGCAGGCAGAAAATCTCCAAGCTGTGACAGACAGAATAGGTTTCAGCTCAGTATCGGAGAAATTTCAACAGTCTCTGGAAGGGGGTTCCAATAACACGGATGTCACTGTGGGAAGTATAAGAACAGAAGATCCTTTAGGGGATTTCTGGGCTTTGCAGGAGTTTGGATTAGCTGCTCCAACCTGGGATCTTGTCAGCTCTCAATTCTGTGAAACTCAAAAGTGAAAGCAGAGGTGGTCAGCGAAGGTGTTTTCCTTCCCTTAACCAGTACCAACCTACAACTTTGAACTCAAGTGACCTGATGACATATTTGCGGGTCAGTATCCAGGAATTAACATTTACAGTTCCTCTTCAACACTCCAAGATAACATTGGTATAGATTCTTGAGGTGAATTATGCCTGATAAGCACAGCCTGAAAGAGTGGTTTCTTCCAATTTAATGTGACCATTTTTTCCTTTTATCAGTTGACTTCAAGTTTTTCTGAATGTGAACTTTACAATGGGCTTTGTTTTTAATATACTTATTTGGGTTTGATACAGAGAAGCTCAAAGGAAGGAAAATATGTCAGACCTAATAGAATAAATAATAGCCATTGAATAAAAAAATTCTGGAGGGACACATAAGTAGTGCTTACTATATTCATGTCATAATGGTGACTGTAGGAGGGACATTTTTGTAATTCATTTTATTCCCTTCCATAGTGTCTGAATTATTTGTAAATACATTTATTATTTTTATAATAAGAAAAATGTTGAAATCTGAAATTTACTTTTTGGAAAACTGAACATACAGTATAGAATATTGCCCTGCAATATTTGGCTCTGGGTCTCCAGCGACTCTGAAATAAGAAGTGCTCAAATATCACCCAATGGATGAGTGTGTGAAAGAATGAATGAACAGGCCGCTGCTGTTCTGTTGGAAAATAAGTCTGCACTTCCAAGCATGTAAAGCTGTCAACACTTGACCTATTACAGATAAAGGTCAAGCCTCTTTGGCTATAATAGTTCTTACCATTTACTTTCAAAGTAATCCGCTTGTAGTCCGCACCACCATAACTGATGATGCAGTAGTAAACTCCTGCATCTTGCAACTTCACATCTGTGATCTGAAGTGCAGCGTTTCCCTTGAAGAGCTGGTCTTTGAGCAGCTGGGCCCTATGCCTGAAGCTACTATGCTGAACCTCGGGGTCTTCCTTTCCGTGCACAAATTGAATAATATGTTTATCCTCCTTTTCCCAGTAGACAGATAAGGAAAGCAAGTCCAGTTGATTTTCTACTTGAAAGTTGCATTCAATGGTCACATTGCTGCCATATTCTACAACATACAAGTCTTTTGGAACTGTGATAGTAAATGCTGAAAAGAAAGATGACCAATTTTCAGAAGACACAAACATTTAGGAAATAAGTATAAGATTTATAATCAGTTTTACTGAAGAATTACAAGAAAATTATATTTAAGAACTTACTTCCCTAAAATACGTATTTTATCCAGCAGGCTGGAAACATATTTTGAGACAGTATAAACTGACCCTTGCATTAAAATAATAAAAATAGCTAAACAAATTGTCCTATAATTCATAAACACATATTTCTGTAAAAATACTATATGATGATGCAGTATTTATAACCAGAAAGATTTTGTTTCATGTATACATCCCAGGAATGTCATTTGATTGGATAAATGTACGCCTTCAACATAGTCTGGATGGTAGATTCTTACAATCTTCCCTTCTTACTGTCCTAAAGTTTTGACCAGTTATCTGGCTAGAGGTTCATAGGTATGGAAATTTATGGAGGACCTCAGGATGTTGCCAGTACTGTTACCCTGACAATTTCCATGTATATGGAAATTCTTAGAATATCTTCATCAGGAAAAGCATGTTACAGAACAATATAGATAGAATGATTCAGACCTTGCTTAAAATAAACAAAAGTATACCTATAGGTCATTTTCCCTGAAATTTTCAGTAGTTTTCCCTGGGAAATGGGTAATGGGCTAATTCAGTACTGTTTATATTCTCTATATCTTTATATAATGACACAGGTGATTTTCAAGAATGAAAATGTGTATGAAATTTAAAAAAGGAAAAATAGCATGTTTGGTCTATAAGATCCACATCCATTTAAAATTATTATTTTAGTTTTTAAACTCATACTTCAAGTATTCACAATATAGAATTTAATGAAAGGATTTGGTGTCTTACCATGCAGCAAATGACAGTAGGCTGTAAATATAAAAATGTCAAATATCCTCATCTTTCTGGAATAACCTAATTATGGGAAACACAGAAAGAAGATTGCTTCATTTAATAATGGAACACTCATATGACAGTAGAGACTTGATAGTTCTAATTGAAATAGTCCTGATAACCAGCTAATGACTGATTTGTAAGTGTGGAAACACAGCTGGGAATTTGGAAGTTCAATACCTTCATTTAATAGTACAGAGCTATATAAAGCCAAGTAGAAAAAAGCTAGTAAGATAAAAATTTTTAAATTTAGTTAAAGGCCCTGAAAAAAATTGTAACATACACTCAAAATGAGCCAAGAAGAAAATACTTCAGCCATATCCTCTTAACTATTTCATGTTTTTTCTGCATTGTAACATATCTAGAATTCCAAACCTGCCATATGTAAAAATTTAAAGCAAGAGAATCTGACTTCCACTCCTCCTATACATTGAAAGGCCCCCCTTCCAACATACACCTACTTTCATCCTACATTTAACTATTCAAGTCTTCTACTTCAGAAGGGAGCACAGGGAATGGGGAAAAAATAAGAACCAAGATATATCATGTACAGGTACAAGTACCCAATGTTAAATGTAAACGTATTGTATACCTAAAATGCACCAATAAAAGAATTTAAGCAAAAAAAAAAAAAGACTTCTACTTTTCTACTTCACTACATCAAATTGACCAGGTTCATCTTTCTCCCTCTTACTTATTCCAAATTGCAAACCCTATTTTCTCAAGATTCCAGTAGAAATGGGGGTGGGGTGGGGAAGATAGTGTCTCATGGCCATCTTCTATTCTTTCTAGTCTTTCTAATCTTTCTTTTCTTCTAGTCTTTCTATTCTTCATTGTGTTATCTTATTTAAAATTTTACCAATTCTTTTATTCAGCAAACATTGAGCATCTCCCTGTGCCAGGCACTACTGTATTTCACAAACTACAGATACAGCAGTGAGCTGGAAAGAAATATCCTTCTGATCCTGTAGCTTATATTCAAGTAAAAGACGATTTGTACTTTATGTGAACCTATATATTTATGAGCATATTTTCTCTCTTTTATGTTTGATAAGAAACTCAGTTTACTCTCTTAATGTCATTATAGCCCTTATATAGATACATAGTCAATGTTACACATATATTACAGAAGATGAATGCTCCTAATACATAAATAGCTTCTAAAATCAATGAGAAAACTAATATAATCCAAGAGGAAAATGAGCTAAAGTTCTAACATAAAGTTCTGAGAATAAGATATACAAATGAGAAGTAAACAAAATTGTATACCTAAAATGTACCAATGATTAGAATGAATAATCGATAATGTAAAATAGGAAGAAAAGGTCCAAAGGGGTAGGGGTAGTGGGAGGGGCGGGGGAAAGGAAAGAAGGGAAAGGAAAAATGATGAGAAATGGAAAAAATGGAAATAAAGTCTTTGTAAATAGGGAAGGGTGGAGGGGTGAAGGGAGGGCTAGGAATGGGGAAAAAATAAGAACCAAGATGCATTATGTAAAGGTACAATTCCCAATGAGAAATGTAATTGTGTTGTATACCTACAATGAACCAATAAAAGAATTTAATTAAAAAAAAATGTTCAACTTCACCATAAAGAGTATATTTAAGTTAGAAGGTATTATTTTTCATTTAATTAGCTTAGCCAAAATTATGCTTCTTAATATCTAATGTTTATGAACATATGGACAAATAGGATCTCCTGGTCATTAATGGCAGAAATGTGAAATTGTATAACTCTTTTTGAAGGGCAATTTGGGAATCTCTAATAAAATTTTAAATGTATATGTTACATGACTTTTCACTGCTCCTGTAAATCTATCCTAAAAAAACATAAAAAGTACATATAATAATGTATGTACAGAGATGACATTATTAATACTGTAATAGCTTCAAACTAGGAGTACTATAGATAGCTTAAATGAGTAAATAAATTTTGGCACTTTCATATAGTATAATACCATTAAGAACAGACTGCAGTAGAGATAGATACACATAGGTATTGATTTTGCAAAGATGTAGAAAGTTGCAGAACAGCACATGAAGGAGAAACTTACTTTCGTTAGAAATGTGAGTATGTGCGTGTATGTGGTGTCCTTAGACACAGAAAATGTTCAAGATGTGGCAGGACAAGTAGCTTTTAATCCAATTTATAGTTTTTAAAAGGAAGAAAACATATAAAAAGAGAAATGATATTGTGAATGATTTCTTTGGGGTTTTTTTCCTATGTCCAAATTTTCAAATGACTAAATGTTTTACTTTTATTAGAACAAAAAGGTGAATGAATCATTTCACCTTGCCAAGCTGCAAAATTTTTAGCAACTCAAAGGGGCATAATGGAAGAACCCCAGAAATGGAGTTATTACAAGGGTAAAATAAAATGAGTCATAATCCTCTTACTGGTGTTAGGTACATAATTCTTATTTCTCTACTTGCCATCTACCCGGTAGATAGGGAGTAAGGATGGCGTTCAGGGATGTGAGGACACAAAGGTTGCTGAAATGAGGCTGCAGCAACTGATTGTCCTTTCTTTGGGTCAGAGTTGATTATACTCTAATTATAAAATGTTAATGTGATATTATAAACACAAACACACTTATCAGGCAGGAGGAAACTTAAGATACCCCTATCCCCAAGTAAAGCACTTTTGAATAAAACAGAGGGACATTAAATCCACTGATGGATTACATCTAATTTTGCTAATGTGTATGGCATACTCTGGGAGTTCTTATGGTTTAATGAATCTGGTTGAATATATTAGTGTGATAAAGGTTTAACAGAGGTGATGAAATAGATCTAACATCTACCTAATTCCTCATCATATCCTCTCCTCCAAGACTCCATTCCTTTAGAGTGGAACTATCACTAGTAGGAGAAAAAGAGGGAAAATAGACCAGGTGAATAAGCATGGTCCTTGACCGCTCAGCCACACATAAGGGCAGTTGGTCTAAGAGAAAAACACTGATATCTCCTTCAGGTAAGAAAAGGTGACCTTGTGTGAATTCTCAGACAAAGACAAGAATAGAGACTTCTGCAGAGCAATGAAGTGTGAACTGGAGAAGACATGATGGCTCATTCAGGGGGAAGCAGGTTTGTCCCTAGGGGAAGCCTAGTATAACATTATGGAACCAATACTACTTCTCTGTCTTCCCAGGCTAGGATAGCTAGGGCGAAGAGAAAGATGCAAGCTTCCTTTCTCAAGATCAAGAGAGTTGATTTATTAAGCCATTACTACATTGTCTATATTATATATTATAATTCACCAAACTCTGTGCCTAAACTCCTTCCTCTCCGTCACACTGAGACACTCCAGTACATTTTCCACATGTGGCTTCAATTCCAGTGTTTCTGTGTCTTCCTCAAAGACCACACTAACTACTGTCATATAGATTCTGTCTTCCCGCCTCCACTGAAAAAGGCTAGTTTTTCTTCAGTGTCATAGTTCTTAAATACTGTTGGTGACTATCATTGTCAAGTGGTACATCATTTCTGGCAATTTTTAGTATTTCTCAAAAGGCCTTTCACATATTCAGACATTTTGACTAAGTAGTTACAATTCAGAGTTTTTCTGAAGGAAATAATCAGCAATGTCCCAGAGACTTATATGCAGTAATGTTTGCTGAATGGCTATGATAGTAAACCATGAAGATAGATTATGATAAATAATCTTTATGTTCAGCAACAGGAGACTAATTTCATTTGGTTACTAAAGTTTTTAGAAGGCTATTCAATTAACAGAAAATCATCCACTGCATATTGTTTGCAGATTAAACAACAAGAAGGTAGAACAAGGATACTTTACTCCTTATGTTATATGACAACCCCAAAGTGAACCTTGACATAGGCCAAGGTCAATGTGTCTAAGAAAATTTTAACATTCTTATTCTTGGGCTCCTCCTCTCTAGAACTCCTTAGGGCCCTAGGAGGAGCTGCTAGAGCAAAAACTTAGGTTTCGGAGTTCTGGATCTTAGGACAGGAAAGGATCTTTGGAGATGCTGCCGGTAAAACGACTTACTCAGTTATACTACTAATGATTAGCCACCGGTGAAGTAGGACCCAGGAGTTCCAACGTCCAGTCTAGGAATTTCAAACTCGACCCGGGTACTCTGGACCACATTCATGAACATTCAGTCACATAGAAGATTGTCATTAACTAAGTCACACTGCTAAGGCCAGATACACAATGCTGCCTGTCCTTAGGTCTTAACCCTACCAAGCAATCGCCCCCTCACCCCGCGCGCCCCAACCATATCGCTCCTCCTTCCCCCCGCCTCTCTCAGTCCCAAAGACCCTCCATCTCTAAAGTGCCCAGTGAGCCGGCCTCAGACTCTGGCACTGCGCGCCGGGCAGGAGAAACACGCTCCCTACCTGCGGGCGCGGAAACTGGAGGGTGGCTCGCTCCAGACGCTGACGCTGCGCCGAGTCTGGGCGGCCACAGAGGGCTGGCCGTCCTGCTAATTACCTCCGGGGGAGGGGCCCGCCCACCTCTCCAAAGCGCCGCCCTAGAAATCCAGCTATAAGTGGACTTTTCCGCGAGTTTAGAAGTTACAGAACTTCGAATTCTTTTGAATAGGAATGTATGAAAGCGAAACCAAATGTGAAAAGTACCAGACCAGTTTTCCTGTAAATCAGGCCTTCAATCAAGAGCAGCTCCGCATACAGGCACGCCTGTAATTCTAGCTGTTTGGGAGGCTGAGGCTAGAGCTACAGGTTTGAAGCCAACCTGGGGCAGTTGAGCCTGTCTCAGAAATTAAAAAAGGGTGAGGTTGTAGCTCAACGCTCCCTGGGTTCAAGCCCCAGTAACACAGAAACACATCCCAAAGATTAAAACAAATTCACATCTGGTATGTTTTAAACAGAGGTCTAGCGCGCGCGCGCACACACACACACACACACACACACACACACACACACACACATGCACACTCACTCACACAACAACCACAAAAAACCCCAAAACAAAACAAACAAACAAAAAACCAAAAGCAATTTGTAATCACAAAGATTTTAGATTTTGGTTTTACCTTTCGACACCTTAAATAAATTCTGCCTTCAGGCTTTCCCCCTTCCAGATGACAGTCGTTTAAAGATTACAGAACATCCTGATATAAAGATATAACTTGATACAACATATAGTAAGCAACAGTCCCATATGGCTTTGGTTTTTATTCTAGAAGTATTTGTGTATAATGAGAAATTTATTTTTAAATCGTGGATTTTGTGACTTCCTCAAAGTTCCTCGACATAATGAAACTTCAATTGCTTTATCATTAAAAGAACTTCCCATCATGAGCTTCACCTTTTAAAAATGCTCTGGATCCATGCTATACTGCCATCCTTTGGATTTAGGCAGTAAGGAAGATATATTCTAGGTAATGTTTAGGAAAGCCCTTCTGGAAACTGGATCAGTGGACTCATGATGAAACCACATCGCTCACATGGAGCATGGAGGCATAATTTACTTCAGCATTTCCACTATTTGACTTCAGTGGGGCTGTCCTTTCTTTCATCCATAAACTGAACTCTTCATTGTTTGCCTTTCTTATTCATTTCAACTGCATAATTGAGATGCCCATTGGCTTGGTTGTGGCATTTGCTTCCTAAGCAGGAATTTTCATATTCTCTGGGTATCACAGATTTTTATTTTTAACTTGGAAAATATTGAGATGATACTGCCTTAAAGATCTAATAGGAAGTGTGGAATTCTCTCTAGTCTGAAACTGTAATAGACTTTGGAGACTCAACCCAGATGCTCCCTTTTTCAAATCTCTTTTAATGAACCAGAGTAGAAGAGAAAAATTTTTCCAACTTTAGTGTCTAACCTATAGTAAAATATAGCTTTTATGTGGCATTCAGTGTGTTTGTGTTTGCACACACACATATACCAACTATGTGCAATACCTGCTTACATTTCCTATTTAATATTTCTTTTTCTAAAAGTGGACATAGATTTCATGCAAGTATGGTCATACTGCTCTGAAAAAGCTGGCTCTAAAGTCATCTACCACTAGTCACCTGAGTTATCTTGGTCAGATATTGTACTACCTAGTCAGGATTAAGTCATATTTCTTACATACCATGATCATGATCTACAAATCATTTTTTAAACCAATAGGATATTTTGGGTTTTGTTCATTTGTTTGTTTGTTTTACAAAAGCATTGTTTAGGATCTATAAAAACAGTCAAGTGGGCAGTCTGGAGGTAAATAAAATTTGCCTTTCTCTGCAGCTGATGGGAATTGAGAGTTTTTACTCAGTTTACTGCTCTGTGATTTGCATATTAGTGATCTGAGGCCTTGTGTTCTTGTTCATCTCTCTCACGTGTTTCCACTCTTCAGCCATTCATTTCACCATGAAATTCACTGAGCTCCCTAGTACAGTATGGTTTTGCTATCCTCCACTGATAGAAAAACAGGAGGTATGAGAAAAAGGAAAATTTTATTTTATCACTTCAAAATAGCTGGGGGGTGTTAGCCCCCAAAATTGTTTGAGCTTTACAATTTGGGCAAAGTATATGGAGAAGTGATAAGAGAGAAGAGCAGTAGCCAGAGCTGAAGAGCTAGACAGCCTGGTAATCTCTAATATCACCATTTCCCACTCATAACTCCACCTACCCTATTCACTTTTAGAGGAAAAGCTTATCATTGCCAATGTGCTCTTTCCTAACATGTCTCTGAGGGTCACTTCCATCACTGTTAATTTGGAGTAAGTGTTTACAGTAGATTCCAGGGCTCTGTCACAAATCTGCTGGATCCAAACCTCTGGAAGATAGTCTTGGATGTTTGTTGACAGTTTAATATTATCCCCAGGTGAGTCATGTACACACTGAAGTTTTGAAAACTGATGATTTAATGTTGAAGGAAAAAACTGAGCCAAGGGTTCTTTATATGTACAGCTATACTCACCTTCCTCTATCTAATTTGGCTGATTTAGGTCAAGTCCACCCTTCACTCAGCCTGTCTAATCCATTTGCTAGTTTTCCCTCTAAATTAGGAGAGATGAGCCACATTTGTACTGACCTTAGAAGGGTAGGTTTCAAGGTCTTCCAACTGGTCCTGAAAAGATGTGAGCAATTTTCTAGTAAAGGAACAATCTTTAGAAAGCTTTTTTGATTTTTCAAAAGCAGGATATAAACATACTCAAAATAATTGATAAAACTTCTTTGCACCAAATATTTTAAAATTCATTTTATTATGTGAAAATACAGTTTTGTCTCAATGTCTTATTTTGGATTGTGTAGGGCTATAAACCACTGCCCTATGTAATGCCCGTTTCTCTCTTGCTGTATCAATCTAACCTCTGGCTTTTTTTGCTCCATCTTTACCATAAGCCCACATCCTATAGATTGGTATCTAACAGATTTCATGGAGCAGAACACTTTGTTGAGTTTATATCAAACAATAGTTTAAATGACAGGAGTAATTAACATGTGTGAGGACCAGCAGATATCTTCACTTGACACTCAAACTCTCAGACAGTTCCCTCCTTCATACTATATTTGTCTTCTTCCTATTCTGAGCTGCAGAAGAGCTCCTGCCTTCAAAAGGTAGCTCCAACACCACAGGTATTTAAACACAAAGATGAGGCCTCTAACAATGTTCTCTGTCCTCAATGAGTTCACAAACACTTACATAACTAATTATGACCCAGAAAATGTTGTGGGAGTCTGGAAACACTGGGTAAATACTTTAATTCCAGGGCTCTCAAATCAAGTGAAAATCACTAAATAATAGAGTTTACAATAACGATATATTCTTCTAATGTTTACTGAGAAATATTTTATTGATTTCATGTCCTAAACTATCCTAAGTGAGTTTCATAGAAACAACACAGCCATCTTGTGGTCATTCTCTTGGTATAAGGATATGACTTGGCTCAAATGTCTTTTGTAGAATCACCTCTAGAAGCATTATTGTATACTCACATTTGGTTTTCAACCAAGAACAATGTGACTTGAAATCTAAAAGTCTACAGAACTTCAGTGTTGGAAGGAACAACTGTTTTGCTGTTGTTTTAGAATAAATGCTTATTCAAGGACCAATTATAGTCAAATCCAGGTGAACTGCATTGAGAACCTAATTATATTGCTATGATAGAGGCCCATCATAAAAGAATGAGTAATAGATTTTTCCTTTCCCCATCCTTCCTGAAAGGGCAGCAAGACTGCTCTATTCTGAGAGGTACATTCCAAATGTACATTTACTACATAAAATTTTGGATACTGAAAATTCTATTAAAAAAGAAGAAAAAAACAAGGTGGAATAATATGGTAGAGTGTGCAGTATGGGGTTCACTTAGCAGTTGGGGAATACATAAGAGGTGATATTTGAGAAGTGAGTTATAAAGATAACCATATCAAGATCTGTAGAAAGACATTTGACAGCAGGAACAGGTGCAAAGACTATAAGGGGGGAACCAGCTTGGCAAATTCCAAGGATGGAAAGAAGATCACTGTGGCTGGATTATGGAGTGGTGTGAGGGATGGAGGATCAGATCACATCATGAAGGGCCTTGAGGACTAAGTGAGAGATGGTAGAGGAATTACCTGATGGGTGTTAAAAAAATATCACTCTAACTACTCTGCCATAAAGAAAGATGAGCTTCAGACATTTATAGCTAAATGGATGGACCTTGAGACCAAACTCCTAAGTGAAATAAATCAGACACACATGTTTAAATACCACATTGTTTCTCTGGTGTGTAAAATTGAATGTGGAAATAAGGACTGAGGTGTATAATGGATGTTGGGAAATGGGAAGAAAGTGTTCAGATGGAAAGGGGAACAAGGGAGGAGGGAGGGAGAAAGGAAGGAAGCAACAAGAAAAAAGAGTGAAAATAGAAGAGAAAAATGACAACAAAGCTTTGTACATAGGGAGGGGAGGGGGCTTAAGGGAGGAATGGGATAAAATAAAATTTATTTTAAAAAATATATCACTCTAATCATTGTCTGAAGAATGAAGTGTGGACTCCCTTACATTCATGAAAGTTAGGAGACCTTTAGAAGCTGTTGCTATAGACAACAATCAAAATGTAATTTGGAGGTAGAATCAGTAGAACCTGTTGATTGATATTAGAGGTGATGGAAACAAGGTAATCGAAGATTATACATATTTTGATATGCTCTTCCAGATTAGAATATTATAATGAGATAACCTATACTATAGGCTTTCACAATATTCTGAGTTCTCTAAATTAAAAATGTCCGAAAACAAAAGCAAAACTCTCCTTGTTAAATTAAAAACTGGAAAATGGTTTTAATCAACCAAGAGACTCATCATTTCTGAAGAAGAAATTACAATGCTTTCTGGAAATAGAGAGGAAGTTGGTGCCAGAGTGGTGGGTGTGGTTCAAGGGCTTGGCTTTGTTCATGCAGGGGCTTGCTATCAAGCAGACTTGAAAATTACTGGTCAGGTCAATTTTTATCAAAAGCTGAAGAAATCCCCAGGGAGCACTGCTGCAGGGATGG